ACATACATACATACATACATACATACATACGTTTATTGCAACTCCCAAGCTGGGTTTTTCAGTTACAAAGCCTACATTAAATTATTGTAATATTATAGTAACATTTATTTAGTAATATGACAACATTTTAGTCGAGGAGTAATGCATCTGTGAAGCTATTCACACACACACACACACACACCTGCTTCCCCTTCCACCTCCCCATCCACTTCTCGGAGAATTAATTTTCAATGAAAGGCTGCCTAGTCCATGTGATTGAGGTGGTAAACCACTTTAAATTACCGAAGGGTTTTGCCCATTGACACAGAGAAGTTTTTGTTTGTTTATCTGTTTTTTTTGTTTTATTTTGTTTCGTTTTGACGCCTCTGCCGTCTCTTCGGTGATCTGCCGCGCTTTCCGCATAACTTCCAGGGGAAGCATCACCCACCACTAAATGTGTGACCGGCAACTAGACTCTGTTAAGTCCGGGATCAGAGCTTCCGTTGAAAAGGACTTATTGATTGGGCCCGCGGCAAACTGCAAAAGAAAACCAGCGAAACACCGGTGAAGACAACCTAGACAGACGGAATAAGGAAGTAACCGTCCGCGATTAAAAAACAGCCTGACGCGAGTGTCAGGGCGACGCTGTTTTGCCGCACCATCTGAATTACTCAGTGATATAAATATTTTATGTAAAACTCGCTCAATTACTCAGAGTAAGTTAAAAATGTAAATAATGAAATGGGACTCAGGTAGTGGTGTTGTTTCGTTACCTTAATAAATGCGTAACATCATATAAATTGGAATCAGTTTTTTCCAATTCTTACAAGTTAAAACTAGTTTGCCTCTCGATCCCACGTAGCCGTAAAAGTTATTTGCGGTCGGCATTTCCCGATGCTGATCCAATCAAGAGGGAGTTAAGCTAACTATTTAAGAGTAGACTCTACCACGTAGCTGACAAAACACCGCAGTGGGAAGTGGTCACAATTGTAGGTAATTTGAAATGTTATCTATATGTCAAAGTTTTGGTGTTTTCGATTTCATATTCGTAGCAATGTATGTCAGTAATGCATGTACACGTATTTTGTTTTATTCTGGTTTGACTGGTCCCTTAATAAAACTTTTGTGTCGTCCAAAATTATAAAAAAGCGACAACCTCTTCGCCTTTATAAGTCGTATACCAGAATCAAGTAAAAAACTATAGTGTCACTTTTGCCTAAAATAACTATGGTGTTACCGAAGTACTTGTTTAGGCCGTGATCAGTCTATTATCCAAAGGAGACCAATGTTTTGGTTGGGTCAAATAATGATGGAAGATCTCAGTTTTCTGACGGCTGTTTTAAGTTTTACGGTATTAGAAATTTCTCGACGCAACACTCTATATCTGGAAACATTTCCGACTTAACGTTGTGCGTAAACATATTGACATCTTAAAAGGAATTAAAAAACTTTTTTATGCTTTTTTTAAACTCGAAGAACCCAATTTAGTGCAGTGTGACGTTGCAGCTTCTTAACCAAAGAAAGGGACCAACGTATTTCCTTATTAATCAACTGATCGAAGTGCAGCTTTTAGTAAACAGTCACTTGAAGTGTTATGATCTTCCGAAGTTGATAATAGAATAAAGTTTTAGCACATCGCTTAAATTCCTTCTAAGACTCTTATGATATAATCTCTCTCAATTATGCATCGGACGCTATTCACGCACCTTGTTATATCAATGATGTTGTTCAAGGGTCCCTTTTCTTCCTTGTAAAGTTATCATTAGTTTTATAATCATGCAGTAAATTAATGCCTAGGCTCTACAACATTGTATTGACAATCCATTACACGCAGCGCGAGTCGCAAAACTGGGGCGGTGCGATCATACAAGCACGTAGGCACGTGCCTACCTCCGGAAATCATAGACATATATGTTTTTATGTATTTTCAATCAACGGAAGGAGGTAAAAAATAGAATCGACTTGTTTGAAAGGTTCATGAATGATAAAATTGTAACCATTAACTTGAGCAAGGTGGTTTAAGATCCAGTTTGAAAGGGAGGCGTTCTTTTCGACTCCTTGTAAACCGCCCTCCCTTATGAACGAGCTTGGGAGAAAGGAATTTTCTCGAGAATTTTCTGGTGAAAAGAGGAATAAAGTATCCCTCTTTCGTAACCGAGCTCAAATTTTACCAGTTTCGTAACTGGATAGTCTGCCTTGTGGGACAACGTTTATAATCAACGAAACGAGAAGATTCCAGTTATGGTACCACGGGCCATCCCTTGAACACTCTAGTTAGTGATGACCTAACTCATCACAGAGTTTTATGTGGCTCAATGGTAGAGCATCGCATCGGAGCGCGGAATCCTTCGGTCTGAGTTTCGATTCTTGCTAAGAACTCAAATATTTTTTTCTGTACCATACTCTCGAAAAGAAGAAAGGCGACTATTTCTTTATTTCACAACCAAGCTCCAAAATAACTTTTTCTCCTGTTCTATTCATTCACAAGACTTAAAGTTGTTTGGTCATTTTGATCGGTGGTCAGGTCAGGAGGAATCAAAACACATATACAAAGAGATCATCAAAACACATATAGCCTCACAAAGAGATCATCAAAACACATATAGCCTCACAAAGAGATCATCAAAACACATATAGCCTCACAAAGAGATCATCAAAACACATATAGCCTCACAAAGAGATCATCAAAACACATATAGCCTCACAAAGAGATCATCCATATGGTGCACGATCCTCGCAGTAGATAGCGCTATTTAAGCAATAGCGAAAATCAGACCTGAAAAAAATCAGGCCTGTACGGGATTCGAACCACTGACCTCTGCGATACTGGTGCAGCGCTCTACCAATTGAGCTAACAAGCCAACTGGGAGAAGGCCGTTAAGTTGATTCGTAATAAACCCGTACAATCAACGGAAGGAGGTAAAAAATAGAATCGACTTGTTTGAAAGGTTCATGAATGATAAAATTGTAACCATTAACTTGAGCAAGGTGGTTTAAGATCCAGTTTGAAAGGGAGGCGTTCTTTTCGACTCCTTGTAAACCGCCCTCCCTTATGAACGAGCTTGGGAGAAAGGAATTTTCTCGAGAATTTTCTGGTGAAAAGAGGAATAAAGTATCCCTCTTTCGTAACCGAGCTCAAATTTTACCAGTTTCGTAACTGGATAGTCTGCCTTGTGGGACAACGTTTATAATCAACGAAACGAGAAGATTCCAGTTATGGTACCACGGGCCATCCCTTGAACACTCTAGTTAGTGATGACCTAACTCATCACAGAGTTTTATGTGGCTCAATGGTAGAGCATCGCATCGGAGCGCGGAATCCTTCGGTCTGAGTTTCGATTCTTGCTAAGAACTCAAATATTTTTTTCTGTACCATACTCTCGAAAAGAAGAAAGGCGACTATTTCTTTATTTCACAACCAAGCTCCAAAATAACTTTTTCTCCTGTTCTATTCATTCACAAGACTTAAAGTTGTTTGGTCATTTTGATCGGTGGTCAGGTCAGGAGGAATCAAAACACATATACAAAGAGATCATCAAAACACATATAGCCTCACAAAGAGATCATCAAAACACATATAGCCTCACAAAGAGATCATCAAAACACATATAGCCTCACAAAGAGATCATCCATATGGTGCACGATCCTCGCAGTAGATAGCGCTATTTAAGCAATAGCGAAAATCAGACCTGAAAAAAATCAGGCCTCTACTGCGAGGATCGTGCACCATATGTATCTAATACCGCAGTTCAAAATATATGAACTTCATATATTTCATTGTATCTAACCAAAGAGATCATCAAAACACATATAGCCTCACAAAGAGATCATCAAATCTTTCAAACCGCTAATCTTCAAGAATTTCACACTTTCACCCAAAGTCAGAGGTCCTTTTGATAACTTTATTTATCTCAACACGTTTGTGACTTGTGGTTTCCACTGCGTATAGAACAACCTTTTCGCGTTTGACCTGATGGCATGTCGAAATTTTCGTGCGTTTTCTGCCCACTCTTCTAAGGTTATTAATCAATAATTTCGGCTTTTATTGTGTCATTTTCTGATACGTATTGTTGGCTACCAATGGCTGACCCCGATTATTACCCTAATTGAACAGAAAAAAAATCATTTCATCTCTTCCAGTATGCGCTCTAAATTTATTTATCGTGCGAAATTCTTCAGTTTCAGAACAGCCTGTCGAAGGAGAACTACCCATATATAAAAAAATGCCTTATCACCCGATATCACCCGGCCTAGATTCAGTCCATTAAATCTCTTCTTGATACGCGTATTAAATAAGAAACTGAAGTTGAATTATGTTTCCGAAATAAAAAGTTAAGGTAGCTAGATCATCGCCAACTTCAAACGATAATTTCGTAAAGGAAACCGGCGACAGTAAACTGCCGTACGTCTAGTATAAGACAAACATTTGTTTCATTGTGTCCACTTCAAAGAGGTGCAGTCTCAGCTGGATTGCAGTCCTGTCAGTCATAACGATTTACAACCTGGCTTTTCTTCTCAAATCAGAGCAGGCTCCTGTTTGTTTATAGTTTTTGGAGAAACTTCTGCTGAACACTTTGTTCATGTGATTCAAAAAGCACACCTACCGCTAATTTGACTTTCTTCTGGCGTAGCTGGAGAACTTATAGATCTTGAAGCAAGTTCCAATCTGGCTCTATTTGGCTTAGTGAACCATGAGTATGATATACGAGGTTATCGACGCTGGATTGAACAGAGAGGCTGTAATCTTTGCGTTCGGTACGGATCCGTCGGTACGTGATCCACAACTTTCAGCAACGGAAATATGACTTCAGTTCTATCAACAACAGCTTTTACAAGTCAAGGGATTATGGTCAGGACTGCCACGGAGGACGCAAATATCTGTGTTTCTTATTGCTATTTTTTCATTGATGTCAAGAAAGGACAACAAACTCGATGTTTTTGAAGCCAGCTTCTTTCCTGACGTTGATAAGTAGGTGACAGGATGGCAGTCTCTTCCTTGCGGAATAGGAAAATCAGAACAAAGCGTAGAGAAAAAAATGTCCATTTGTTTAGTGTTAGTCAGAAATGGCTCGTCAAACCGGTCGATTCATCAAAAGAAATCCTTTGTCAATTAGTACTCAGCTTTGAGCAATTCCTAGACTGCACATAGACTCTCATTGAATGTTTCTGAAATTCCATACAAACAGCGTCGTCGCTGAACATTCACCAAGACCTCATGATAAATTTTGTGATCGGTCGTGGAGTAAAGAAAGAAGGTAAAAAAAAAAAAGACAACAGCCCTCGTTTTTCGAAAACCGAGAAGACGCACACTTCTCTATCTTTCTAAATTTATACAAAAATTAAATATGTGTGTTTTAATCCCACGTCCATCCGATGGAGATGATATGGCAAATAACGGAAATCATATCTGTATGGTAATAAGACTGATGTTATTTGTAAACCTGAAGATCCTGAATCGACTCTTATTGGGCAGTCTCACTGGAAAATAGTTTTCCTTACAATGATGAAACAACAATATGAAACAATCATGAAACAACAATATGAAGTACACTCTTTAGTCACTGTAACGCTGTTAAAACTTGGAATAGTAATAACAATTTGAATGTGCTCCTCTAGTGAGACAAAAACTGTGAAATGGACAGTTTGTCCTTCATTACAGGTATATTCATCCCCCGAAAGCTACAATAATATTGTTGGTACCTCTTTGAATTAGTATTGAATTTTATTATTGTTTCTGTTTACTTAAACGTGTAACAGCTACAGGATAGAATGCAATCTTTAATTGTAATTATACATCCGAGTGTTTGTTAATGTTACTCCTGTGATGATCACGAATAACCACATAATTTTTAAAAAGACCTTAGTCTCGAAATGTGGACGAGAATGCATTAGAAAATTTATATATCAGATAAGATGAAAAGTGTTTCTCACACTGTATAGTTGAGCAATTATGGAAAAGGAAGAAGAGGAAAAATTAGATTACTTTTAAAGGTGTCTCGATCTTTAGTTCAAAACTCCCGGTAATAATATTTCCGGTACGTCTATGAATTGAAGATTACTATTATTATTATTATTCAAAATTATTATATTCAAGATTATTATTATTCAAAATTGTTCGGCAAATTTTAGTTTTTCTCAGCTTTTCTCCCTTCGTACAGGTGTCGTTTTATTTTAAAGACAAATTCTATAAAATGAAGTAGTTTCCTGCTTGTTGTTTCAGTGATTTGGATTGTTGCAGGATGTGACGGATGTTGCACAAACTATCGATGGATCCGATCATACCTCACAGTCACGTATCTGAAACAACACTACCTTGACTTCAACCTAACCAGATATTTTGCAGTCCCACCGATGTATTTCCTCCTTGAAGCGTGCGAAAATCGTACCCTTTTCCTTCTACTTCTGCGTATATATGCGGTACGTTGTTAAAATCTTCCTCACCTTAAAAACCGAATTTATAGACATTATAGAATTTTTTATTTTTAAAAGAATTTGACTTGAAAAGCACTTTTTCAAAATTTTTCTTTCATAAAAGCATGAACCACGAACAACGAACTACCTTCATATAAGTTAGGCTCGAACGGATGTGGGACACAAGCATGTATCTAAACGTGTAACTTTTTTAGCATTTCACCAAACATACACTACAAGTTAAGACAAGCCATATGAATTATTTGGTTAAAAATATTTAATGATTGATCACCCTTATATTTCGAGAAAACAGACTCATGATTGTATCATACATCATTTCAAGGCCAGCTTAATGGGTGATTTCATGGACGGAACTCTGCAGAACCGAATGAAGCAATGATGAAAAACCTTTGCGACTCAAATTATTCTCTGTTTTTCTTGGCGCTAATATTAATATAAACTCTAGCTGTTATAATTTTCAAACTGTGGGTATCAGCCTATTAATGTAAGTTCCAAAATAAACGCTCTATAAACGAAAAAACTATAGACAATTTTCAAGAGTTCACAGGGAGACACCAAGATATGGACTTGATTGTTCCATTTGCAGAACATCTTCATTTCCGTTACCGTTTTATATTGTTTGATTTCACAAGTAGTTTCAGAGCGAGGTCTCTGGGTTTCACCTTGTATCACCTTCGATTCACGCAAACGTACGTTTTGCCTTCATATCAAACTTCTCAGAAACGCCTCTGGGAATCTTCAATGTAAACAAGTGCATAGCTCTCTACATTTACATTATCGGTTTCTCTTCGTCTGAACTTGTACTCGATCTTTTTGATACCGGAGTTTTCTTTTCCAACCGTTTTCCTTTCACCCGTTTCCACTTCATTCTACGATTTTGAAACCAGACCTTAACTTGTCTTTCTGTCAGGTCCAAACTCACCGCGATCTCGTATCTTCTGAGCCTGGTTAAGTAATTATTCCTCTGAAATTCATTTTCCAGTTCTTGTATTTGGTGTTTAGTGAAAGCTGTTCTTTCCTTCCTTTTCTTTCCGGTGGTTTTTCCGGCCTTTGCTGCTGAAAAACAGACATCAGAGGAATTTCAGATTTTAATCTTTTAAATTGATCAATCAATGAGATAAACACTACTCTAGGACGAAGACTGTAGAGAATACGTCAGAATAATTTAGATCTTTGCGAAGTTAGGAAAAATGTACTGACTAAGGAAATCTTGCTAATAGGAAAGCTCAAATGAGCTTGGCTGAGATCTTCAAGTTAGCTAGTGGAATAGCTTTAAAGATTTGAGTCTTTGTATAAGAATCGCGGCAAGAAACTTTTGAATTCATCGTCAGTCTGGGGACTCTGTAACCAACATTCTAACTAGCAATAGAACAACACTGATCTGAGCCTTTACTGAGCTTAGAACCATGCATTTAGTTACAATGCACCCTTCACGACCACTCTTCCTGTTTCTTTTTTGTTTAATCTTCTTAAAGACTAACTGCCTCTTTCTTCTCTGCTCTATCAAAGCTGTTCCCTTGAAACAAAAGCTTATAAAGTTTATGAAAAGATAGCAAAACATTTAGCTCTGTCCAATTCTCTCTACTAAGATATTGGACGAGAAGGATCTTGTTAGCTTTTCTTTCGCTGTCAACTGCCTTCAGTTCGAGAACACACTTGAAGCCGCACTTCTCTTTCGAGAAAAGAGGCAGGTGAGAGTTGTTCTCCAAAATTCGAAATTCCAACCCAAGTTGGGTTTATAAGAAGTACGAGGCAAGGAAACGGAATGATATTAAAAGTAGTTCAAGTAGCTTGTATCTAAAGTACAAAGTACAAATAGAAGATTCGTGACCTTTTCCTAAGGAATGCCATCACGGCTTGTTGTCCACACTACCCTAATAGGAAATGTCGTTGGGTGCATTACCTGGAGAAGCCCCACCTTCTCGTTTTGGTGTCTTCTGCTTTACCTTACAAGCAATCTATTCTTACGAAAATTATTGGCACCGGGAAACTAAGTATTTCGACAAATAACTAGAAGAAAAAAGTTGCAGTACACTGTAACGGGTTGTGTTTTCCTTGAAAGTGGGCAAGTTCAGGCTCACTAAGGTTTAACAGAAGCTAGAAGTACCATGCATTTCTGCTTTTCGCTCTGGTGGTTAATGAAGTCTGTCTTTCGGTAGAAGGGAGCAAAAAAAAAAATTAAGATTGTCTAAATTTCAGACCGAACAGGCTATTGTCTGGCACTCTTTGACCTTCTGGCGCAGTTTTTGCGAAACACTCCTTTTTCGGCAAGCTTCCACAAAGGGTATTGGTGTTATGTTTCCATTTCAGAGAATCAGGCCTGATACCTGGGAAGCTTTCAAGCAGTTACTGATCTCTATCTAATTAATAAGCGTTGAGGGTAAACTGCCATAATATCAATGTAATGAACTGACTTTGAAAAAAACAAATTATTGGTAGTTAGGAATTTTTCTTTGAATTTTTCTTTGAATTTTTCTTTTGAACAAAGCGTTTGTTCTTCAGCCTCTTTGAGGTGTGCGGCTTTTGGATTATCAGTTGCTATCGCTATCCTCATTGCTAGATTCGTGCATTGAAATATTAGCATCGTGAATTACAGAAACAAGTGAAATATCTTGCTGAGTGAGTTTTGCAAATGATAATGGAGCAAACTTGTGCTAACTATGGTATTTAACAAACTTTGACTGTGGAGACAACATTTCCGAAATTACCCGAGCTCAAAGGTGCCATTATCATTTAATTTGTTTGTCTTCAGGGCTAAAAAAAAGCGGTGTGCCAGACGATAATAGCCTAAAGTAGAATTTGCTGTGTCTAGTTTCTCTTAAGATTTTCGAAAAGTAGAGCCATCAAGTCAACATTGTGATTGATACAAGTCAGTTTGTGAAGAGAGTTCGGATTTACACTGGACAATAATATAGTAACAATTTTCTGTAAAAAATTGTTTTTGATGAATTGATAAACACTTCTGGGGAAATAACAGGACAGCAGAGAAGAGAGAACTCTCTAAATGCCTTCCTTTTCAGAATTGTAGAAAGGGAGAATAGTAAGTGGTGGATGAAATAACTTATTTCCACGATAAGAACCGAAGCCTTCTTGAAACTTGTAAGACAAGTTTAGCCACATTTCACCCGCGGCGTTAATAACAAAGATTTCATCGATCGAAAATGCTTAAATTTGTGTCTTAAATCAGGCATAACAGTAGCGAAGGAACTATATGGCTTCCTTTCTTCCTTTGCACTATGAACTAAAGATAAAATGATGGATGAACGTATTTCTACGAGTACAACCGTATACGCACACCAAGGTTTTCCTTTTTTGTAACCTGTTAGCTAAGATTTTCGACTTGTTATTTGCAGCTTCAATGCCAAAGATTTCATCCACAAAGCTTTAGTGTCAGTAGTTCGAGATTCCAAATACTACTGGAGACCACAACTATGCAATCATCTTGTTTGCTATTAGCGCAAGCTTTGTGTGGGTTATTGTGGTTAAGACACGAGACTCAGAGGAAGGAGAGCTATTACATTAACCTGCTATAGAAACCAAAACTTACCTACCAAATGCTTATCTATTTAGTATTCTTTAATCCTCAACAATCTCATCTTCAACGACTCTCCAACTAGAGCTCTTATCACCACCCTCTTATAAATGACACCTTTGTGAACAAGAACAATCTTACTGAATTAAACTCACGACAGGGGGCTAAAAGAGGATAGTTAATTGTGTAGAAACGAAGGTTAATTGGACAAAAGCGATGAGTAACCAAAAAAGTCGAAATGAAAAATATCCACGGTCTTATGGGCTGAGTTCCGGCGAATTTGTTCAAAGCCCAGGATACGGCGCACCTCTAGATTGGCTTCTAAGTTTGGTGAATCCAATTGCTCTTTAAGCATTTCTGTGCATTATCTTCCAGCCCAATTGTTTTTTCTTGCCTAAATGGCGTATAGAGCTTAGCGATTAAAGCTAACTGAAATTTTAAAGTATTTTTTGCCTAAAATTAAACCGTCTTTATCTAAAAACGCTTCTCTTAGCTACTGGGAAATAATACAGATAGAGTTCAAGTGCCTTGCATAAAAAATAGTCAAGAGGAATACCTTGCAAATAGATATCGACGTTGCCAGCATTTCAATATTATCATAAAATAACTTCCAAGACAATTTATCAATTCATCCCTCACAAGGGAGGTTCATTTAAAGTTGTGGGAATCGAGATGCACGCAGGACCTCAAGATCCAACCACATGGCTAGGTCACATGGTGATGTTCTTTCGCGCTTATCTTCAAGAATACTCTAAACAAACTTAGTAACAACTAGTCTGAGGACAGATTCCAAGATCGATGAGTGATAGCATGTACCACTGATAGTAAGAAATTTCACTTTTGTAGAAATAAGTCGAAGATGAAGCACTTGACATTCAAGGGTGGGAGAAGATTTAGGTGATACCAACCCTAACGACATTCTGCAAAGAAATTTGGTAAAATGTGTTGCATATTCCTCCTTAAGGCAGCATTTTCTAAATAATTTTTACAGCTGCATGAACAAAGGAATTGAATACTTGCGCGCATAGGATTGCTAGTCTATCTGTTTCTTAGATTTCTTCCTAAAAGCTATGCACTAATTTCAATATCTTATCTGGTTCAACCAAAGTTTTAATATAAACTCCACCAAGCACCGAGTGAGGATCAACCCATTCTTATCTAAAAGTTCTTACCGCATTTCCTTTACCTGATGATATTTACGTTTGTGGTCAAGAGCTGAGTTACAAAGGAGATGAGTCATTTTGTTATGAGGGGAGACTTTGACAAAGATATAAAGAATTCAGCTACAAACTGTCGACAGTTTTTCAGCGATGACCGAGTCGAAGCACTCTCAGTTATGGTACGATTTGCAAGCTAATGAACGTACAAACACGTCTGAAGTAGGTGCCAGTCAACGTGATAAATACTTGAATCGCAATAATAACACTTAAGAAGGTGTGATCTTTAATAAACATTAATAAAAGCATCATATGGGCTGATTACCTTGCTCACAGCTCGGTAGCAACTGTGCAGAACCCTCCATGACTTGATGCGGGTGTTCCGGACGAAGATCCAGCGTGCTTGGATGCTGTGGAAGATGGTGCAACACTGGTGCTTCCTCCCTGGGACTCATCTCCATGTATCGTGCATAGTGCGTGAGCTTTGGTGAGATGTGGCCATAGGAGGCGGAACTACTAGGCTGATAGCTAGATACTGTTGGATATGCGTTATAGGAGAAACGAGGAGGGGGATTATAAACATACGGAGGGTGCGACAACGGTGGCGGATTGTGCGTTTCGTGTGGCGTAACAGGGTACGGAGGCCTGTTGTAGTTGAACTCTCGTGGGTACATCATGTGAAGTTGTCACTTTGCCTGTACCAGGTCAGTTCCTAGAGCTCGCCAGACAAACACGATTTGCATCAAGCGCGTTCTGAAGCACATTTATCGCGCAGTCGCTGCTTGGGTCGAAAGTGATACCGGGCCGCTACTTTTGAATGTGTAATCGATACGAGTTATTGTCTGTCGGTGCAGTACTAATAGAAATGTAACCTACAGCATTCCTCGCAGGGAATATTTTGGGAAGTGTGGCTTCCCTCACGTAGTTCTATGGAAGGAGATGGGCTTCCTCAAGGATAAAATTCTCATTATCTTGAAGGTAAGTTTGGTCTCCCTATTTTCGTCGGCTGGTCTCGATCTCTCAAGCGACAATCAAAACAAACACCCGGTATAATCTGATAATATTTCTTTCCCTTGGCTCTCTCTTTAATGTGCCGCGGACATTTCAGCTGTTTTACGCATTAACGGTGGTACAACACTTCTGTTCTGCTGTCGCATCACTGAATCATTCATTTACTCGGTGCTAATGCGTTTTTTATTCTTACATGTTAGTTTTATTTATCAGAAGTAAAATAAAAACAACGGATTGACATAGCTAGATTTTGTGCGCGCGTATAAACGTGCTGCGCAGAAGAACGGTTTTTACACCATGATAGGCGTTCAGACATGCACGATCCAAGCCAACATGAGACCTCACACTGGCATCAAAAAATCGGCTGTAATGATGTCTTTGAGAAAGATTTTGTTTTATGGGTGAGGTTAGAATTTTAACTTTTTCTTGAGATTCCAGTAAAAAGGTTATGTAAGCCTGTCATATGTGCATAATATAGTATTTATTTTGCAATCATTAAGTGTCCAATGTAATAAAGATGCGTTTCTCCCACAATTTTGTAACTTACATCAGACTTCCATCACGAAAGTTATATAAAAGTTTTGTAATGATACACACGTGAATTCGAAAACACCTTTCTTAGCAGCTTTAATTTGACGATCAATGGCGCATTTTGTTTAGTTTTTTTTTTAAATCTTTCTTTGTAGCTTTGTTTTAATTTCTGTAAGTATGTTTGATAAAGTTCTGCCTTCCAAGTGGCTTCTAAGTGCTGTTTCCTTTAGGAAATGGCCTCGTTGATTGTAGGTCAGACAAACAACGGATTTGTTTTGTGGACAGAAACTAAATGAAGCAACGTGAGAACTAAGCTAAAGACGAAAATCACACAAACTCTTGCACCAAGCAAGCAATTCTTGCATTTCAGACCACCCTTCGGAAAATCCGAATTAATTTCTGGGCGGAAAGCTTGTAAAATCTTGACAGAATTCTTATCTAATTGCTTTTCAACTTTCCAAGTTTTAATTAAAAGCGAATGGCATGTGGTAAAATCTTTTAATCGCCACTAGATTGGATTTCATCGGCCCCTCATAAGTTGATAGCCATCTTAAGTCAGAGTTTCAACAAGCCGCACTGTTAGTCCGTGCATATTACTTCACGCCGCCTTCCCTATCCGAACTAATTAAAATATTCCCATGTATCTAATGTGTTCCTTATGTGGAGAAGAATTCTCCGGGTTTCAACAACCTTGCCGACGTATTAAGAGCATTTGACACTTGGTTTACACGAAATCCGACGTGACACCCATAAATCATTTATGAAAACTTCTATGAGGAGAAGATGGCCGAATAAAAATATTTTGTTAAGGCTCCACTCGATGACATGTTTTATTTCCAAACAAAACTTATAAATCTTATTTTCAGGCGAAGAATTTGCAGAAGATACATTTGCTTGAACCGCGACGTTTAGATTTTACGAGAAGCGCCTAAATAAAAGCATTGTAGTGGAATACGGTTCATTAGAACTTCTTGTTTGAAACTGCAGAGCAAACGTACCAAAAAATCAGGGACAAGTCCTAAAAAGTAATAAAAATATTTGGATTGATGGTCAAATGACAAAACTGAGATAAAAGATAAATTATCCTTGCCTCCTTTGGGGTCCACGAAACAAACAGATATAACAAATCTTCATAGCTGCCTTCAGAGTCTTGCAAAAGAGTGTGATTACAACGCAATTTGTAATGCCACGAACTTATTCGTTTGGACACTAACGTTTGTCAGTTTATTTGATGACGGTATGTGGTATTTCTCCAATAGATTAGAGAGAGGACGCACGGATTCGTCCATAGTTATCTTTCACTCGTTTGACAACTTTTGCCTTTAAAATTGAGCCGTGAATATCCTGCTTCGCTAAGTCCTTCTCAGGGGTGATAGAAAGTGATGCAAGCGATACACCTTGTTGCAGAGGGATGGGAGACTCCAAGTAATAGTTTATAGGGGGTAATCGAGAGACATTGCTTTATTCTTGTTGTTGGTATGTATCAAATCTGAACTGTAAGAACTGGTTAAGCTGAAAACTTATCAAAGGTTTCAAACCTTTGTGTGTTTCAAACCTTCCGTGTGGCAAATTGAATTTGTCACACGAATGGCCACATTAAGATAACATTTTAGCGTTTAACAGCCGTAAGAATTAAGTGGTGAACTAAATAGAGTTTGTACAGTCTTGACTGTTTTCCAGCACAAAAAGGGCATGAAATATATATTGAAATTTTTAGCGGTGACACCATCACGAAGTGGTTCTTTGTGTACTCTGTTCTCCAAGTAAGTTTGGATCTGGACGGTTTGTGTTTGTGTAGGGAAGAATAGTGGAGAACTCTGAGTAAAACCTACGGAATCAATCGCTATTATTCGCTACCTTGGTAAAGATATACCATGTCCAATGCACTTTTGCTAGTTACAACCCTCCAAAGAGGTTGAATGAAACGAGTTTGACTTTGCAGGAGGTTTTGTGTTCCCTATTTCAACCTCGTTTTCACTCTTTGTCTATTTACTAGGTCGAAGGGTTCATTTATATCTGTTTGTCTTCCAAAGGTTCTAATCCGCTGCGAGAGGAGTCAGACGCGACCTCGGACTGATGAAAACACCACAGATAGAAAACCGAATGAAGCTTTGTGGTTTTAGCGCTCATGCTGTCATACAGTCGCCAAGAAAGGAATGTGAAACGCTGGTTTCCTGTTTTTCAGTTGTGATTGTGCGCCTGGTGTACGACCTCTTCAACTGCAGAAAAAAACCATGTAAAGGTTTCTATTTGTTGGAAGATTTCATCACAATTAATGCTGTTCACAAGTTCAACAAGCAATGATGTGTTCTTGCTCCTTCGGTTGAGAAACGATGGCGCGCTTCCTGTCTTGATGCAATCTTGCATAGCATCATATTGCTTTCATTTATTCCTAGGGTCAGACTCTTTTGTAATTTAATAGTGAGGCTCACAGTTCCGAGAGTTGCCTAAAATTTTTTATTCTAATTATATAGTTCCGATCACTTCCAATACGACAATACTATACTGTTTGTTGAGGCGAAAGGAATCTTGTTTCCTTGATCTATTAGTAAAGTTAGCAGAATTGCTAAGAATGCCAAGTGATTAATTCAAGAGGATGCCTCAGTCACCAAATGGGCTATGTGAGTTGACGTGGGAAAGTTTTAACTTGGGTTCGAAATGGTAACGTCTGTTTCCTACTTGGAGGAATAAGATCTGAAATGATCATTCTCATGTTTTTATCGAACCATGACCAGCTCTCAGTATCGAAGGCTTGTCGGATTCCATATGAATTCATTAAACAACTCTCGTCCTCAGTCAAAAAAAAAAATAGGAAAGAAATTCTCAGGTAAAGGTTATTACTTACTTCGGAATTTTCTCAGACTTTGAAGAAAGTTATCTATAGCGGATCGCGAGAACCGCGTCCCTGAATTTTCGAGAACTTGGTAACGAAGCATTTTAAGCTTATAATATTCGTTGTAACCCCAAAGTTTCTATGACAATGATCAATAAGGCATGAGGCAACGTTGCAGAAATGTGTATTTTCAGTAGACATCAAATTTTGGCGTTAGATCTGTCCTTGTTCGGTTTGGAGTGGGAGTATAATGTAAAGGTTTTGATATAAAAGATACTCACATTAAGCTTGTAATTAAGGTTTTCTGGTTTTTAAGACCAAGATTTTGCAAATGTCGCTGGTTAGACAGTACAGTTCTTTATTTTCTCCCCAATTTCGATTCCTTTAGCGGGTTATAACTACGATTAAGACATTTCAAATGAAGATTTTTAAGAGTGTTTTGACAGCACTAGTATTCTAGCAAGAGCTTCCTTACTCAAGGCCGGGAATTTTGATGTTAAAAATGCTTTCGGAAGGCGCAGCCGGATAGTGCAAGATCTAAGCCATGCCGACCACTTGGTCTGCATAGAAAGCTCAATTAAACTCATGGCGCGCGCGAAATACTGCCATACTTGACGGAGAGTCCAGTAAAATAAAACGAAATTTTACGCAATATTTTGTTGATTCTGCAGCCCTTTGAAGCTGGCAGATGAGGCACATTTCTTTAGCTGTGGTTAATCGATTCGTAATAGCAGCGTTTTATATTTAGACACACCATGAGAACCTTAGTGATGTCTGTGATCTGTTTTTGCCATTAGCGCGGGTGTGGCGTAGAATGAATTTTAAAATATTATCTTTGGAGTTAAACTGGAAGCCTAAGGGCAGAGGGGCGCTAGTCCCCAGTTTGCAGTTTGGTCTGTAAACGCGTACGGCTATAGATTTCGGTTATTATAATCTAAGAGCAGGTATAGTTTTCAATGGAAACACGTGATCGTTCAACAGTATTTTAATTATCAACTTGATATGATTATAAGGAGACATATTTTGGGCCAAAATATGTCTTCTGATAGATTTAACCAACCCTTCATTTCGGTATCACACTCTTAACTAAGGCTTAATTTCACTATCGCAAAGCTCGAGAAGCATAGGTCTGAAAACGGGAAAGGTTTTGAGAGGTCAGATTTTGGTCTTGCATAAGGTCAGCTTTAAGAACCAGTGGGAACACTCCTACCAAAATTCCCCTCCTCCTTGCGATAAGCTACTCATTCCTAAGAGTGACTTCCGTGATGAATCTTTCGAAGAGTTACACCTTAAACCCAATAATATGGTCAAGTCACAACATTTGGAAACTGGATGATAAAATAACATATGA